AGGTAAGGTAAGGTAATTATTATGAGAAACAAGTAACCCAGTAATACTATATAGTACTTGGATGGTGTGCGAACGCAAGGAGCTGGGGGGGGGTGAGGACGTAGTGAAAGAACGCTTCCCATCCACTTGGCCTATAAGGGATCGAACGACGAACCTGTAGGAAGCGAAGCCGTCGTTGTACCGACCAGTGCTAGCGCACAGACAGGGATGTCAACAGAGACGAAGCATTTCTTCACATGTGTTCTATGTATTATAACCATTGAACTTAGTGTAACAACATAAAATATTTCGTTTACCTTCCCCACAAGATAACAAAGAGAGAGATTCATTCAAAACAGATAAAAGAAACTGAAAATAAAAATGTTACAACCTAACATTAAATAATAATAATAATAATAATAATAGAGAACCTTGGCCAGGCTTCACATTAGAGGTGAGAGAAGATCGTTCAAATTTATAATCTGGTGAGCGGGAGGGAGGAAGGATTTACAAGGGCTCGCAGAAGAATGCTGTCTAGTTATATTCAAGACTAAAACAGTGCGAAACTATTCTGCCCCGGAGCCAGATGCTTGAGCACAATATCTTCACTGTGTGTGAGTGTGTCCTACAAGATCACCCACTCTGTTGCTCCTGTGTATGTGCAATATGTAAGGTAGAGAAGGTAGTTTGAGTAGATTTTCACGGAGGGTAAAGTAGCAGTGATGCGAGAGGTCGTAGTACTGTAGTAGTACTAGGCAAGGCCAGCTAGTATAAGCGCTGGGAAAATTGATTGTGGTGGTAGTAATAGCAGGTAGGATACACGTCTACACCCTTGCCACTAGTGCTCCCCGGGCCTCTGGCTCCTGGTGACACACGTCTCCACCCTTGCCACTAGTGCTCCCCGGGCCTCTGGCTCCTGGTGACACACGTCTCCACCCTTGCCACTAGTGCTCCCCGGGCCTCTGGCTCCTGGTGACACACGTCTCCACCCTTGCCACTAGTGCTCCCCGGGCCTCTGGCTCCTGGTGACACACGTCTCCACCCTTGCCACTAGTGCTCGTGACACACGTCTACACCCTTGCCCCGGGCCTCTGGCTCCTGGTGACACACGTCTCCACCCTTGCCACTAGCGCTCCCCGGGCCTCTGGCTCCTGGTGACACACGTCTCCACCCTTGCCACTATCATTGTCTACAGGGAAGTGAGATTCTTTTTTTTTTTTTGCCCCGCCTGCCAGCATTGTACCTGTGGCGTTTCAACTTAACTACTCTTTCAAATTCTTTGTCGAGTTGGGCCTTAAAGGTGTGGCTGGAGGTGGCGTCCACAGCTTGCTCTTTTCGAGCATTCCACTTGTTAACTACCCATTCAGGATACGAGTATTTTCATACGAGTACGAAAGATAAGGTGGACAAAGCTGTCCTTGTCCACGTTATCTATTCCCTTCAGTATATTGTAAGTTGTAATCATATCACCTGTTCCTTCTATCCTCTAGGGTTGTGAGATTTAGTTCCATTAGCCTATGTTCGTATCTTAGCTCTGGCACCAGTCGTGCTGTAAACCTTTGTATTTTTCAGTTTTGGCTTTACGCTCACAAGGTGTGGATCATATGCCGGTGATGCCTTTTCCAGTATTGGTCAAACAAATTTTATGAAGGAGTCCTGATTCAGGTGGCTTAACGATGTTCTTATATTTGTCAGCGTCCCATATGCTGTCCATGTTATCCAGTTTATGTGTGCCTCCGGTGAGTGTCTGAATTATATCCACTCCCAGATCCTTCTCTCTTTCTGATTCATATAGCTGTCTTGCCCTTGTGACGTAGATACCTTCTGGTTTCCTCCCTCCCTCCCTTTCCCGTCTTCATTGTCCCCTTCACGCGGACGGGTCCCTAGCTATTGTCTCCTACACGCGGACGGGTCCCTAGCTATTGTCTCCTACACGCGGACGGGTCCCTAGCTATTGTCCCCTTCACGCGGACGGGTCCCTGGCTACTGTATACCTCATTGGGAACAATATCCAGAAGCGGCGCTGGTTCAACGCAGAATGAAACGTCGCCAACGTTCATTCGGCGATGCACTAGCGTCGCTGGTGGCTATTGTGTCGACGGGGCACTGGTCGGCACGGAGAGCAACTACACAAATGATAATAATGTGTAAACAAGTGGGCGGATCAATAAGAGTAAAGCGGGTGGACATGTGTGGGCAGTCACACAGCCAGCTTGGCTCCTACCCAAGGTTACCCTCCCAGGAAACACACTCTCTCCAACATGTATTCTTAACTGCGGGAAAATACTTACAAGCGAATATCAGTGTAATCCAATATTCTTTCATGACGCAGATTGCCTTGTTGGTATTAACATGGCAGCGATGGTGCTGCCGCTGATGCTAACGTCAGAAGAAGTAAAGTATCTCTCCAGTCCTTCGGATTCTCAAGTAATCGAACATGAACCAGGCAAGAAATTGGGATAATTGCCAATACAATATTAAATATTTTATGGCTTGTAAACAGCTGTTGTAAGACATTGGGACAACCAATATCAAGCTGACCAACTCAGGATGAGAGGGAGTTACTTGTGTGACATTATATTTAAACACAAGTTTGGAAGGATAGAGAAGTTCATCTAGAACCTACGAACAGTAAGTGTGGAAGAATCAACGAGACTTATCAGTCAGTTTATATCATCAGATACGAACAATGAAAATTTACGAGTGTAAACCGTAGACTTTTACTTGAAATTGCATATAATTTGCCAGTGTAAACTACTTGCCTCTGTACGATAAATCATTCTGTGTGATGGGGATTTTTAGCATCACATAGCTAGTTTTTTGTCACACTGTACTCCCCTTGATATAGTCTCGGGTAACGCCACGAATGCATATATACCTAAATGTGTTATTAAACAAAAAATACTGCAAGATGGGGACTTTTGCAGGCGATGAGTCACAATAACGTGGCTAAAGTATGTTGACCAGACCTTCTAGTGTGTGGTCTGGTCAACATGGGGACTTTTAATATATCATTGATACCTTATTCACTCTTTTTGTGTTCTTGGTGATATCATCATAATTCATCGAGAGTGCCAGTGCAGACTACTTGTCACATGACTCTGTATGACTAACCATCCTGTGTGATGGGGGCCATGACAGGGCCATAAGATAAAAATAATCATCTATTCTTCTTAACTTAAACAAATCATTATCTATAACTTGTAAACCAGATGGTCAAATAATTGGATTCTGAATACAGCAGGTAAATTTACAAAACATTTACCTGGTAGGATTAAAGTTAATAATTTAAGCTTCCAAACTATGAACTAAGAGGATATAAGTCATGCTTAAGCCCTCTCGCATTATTTCTATCAAGAGAGAGAGAGAGAGAGAGAGAGAGAGAGAGAGAGAGAGAGAGAGAGAGAGAGAGAGAGAGAGAGAGAGAGAGAGAGAGAGAGAGAGAGAGAAACAGAAAGACAGAGATTAACTTACTCTTGGAGAGTTTTGAGTATAGCGTCGCCTGTGTACTGGCGTCGCCTCTGTACTGGCGTCGCCTCTGTACTGGCGTCACATGTGTACTGGAGTCACATGTGTACTGGTGTCACCTGTTTACTAGCGTCATATATGTACTGGCGTCACCTGTGGACTGGCGTCACCTGTGGACTGACGTCACCTGTGTTTTGGCGTCACCTGTGTATTGGCGTCACCTGTGGACTGGCGCCACCTATGGACTGGCGCCACCTGTGGACTGGCGACACCTGTGGACTGGCGCCACCTGTGGACTGGCGTCACCTGTGGACTGGCGTCACCTGTGGACTGGCGTCACCTGTGGACTGGCGTCACCTGTGGACTGGCGTCACCTGTGGACTGGCGTCACCTGTGGACTGGCGTCACCTGTGGACTGGCGTCACCTGTGGACAGGCGTCACCTGTGTGCTGGGGAACACCTGTGGACTGTGTGCTAGCGTCACATGTGGACCTGCGTCACCTATGGACTGACGTCGCCTGTGGACTGGCGTCGCATCTGTACTGGCGTCGCCTGTGGACTGACGTCACCTGTGTACTGGCGTCACCTGTGTACTGGCGTGACCTGTGTACTGGCGTCATCTGTGTACTGGCGTCGCCTGTGATTGTGGTGAGTTACGTGTACCAGGTGGCTCCCTACGCCACAGTAGCTCCAAGTCTTCTCAGTGTCCCTAAATATGTCTTCTCTTGACAGCATTCTTCAGCTGGTCTTATCTCAACAGGTCTCCTATATATCATTTCAGCAAGTTCTGTAAATAGGCTCTTCAATAGTTATCCTCGCTGGGTTTCTCAGGTCCCTCATCAAATGAACCGTCAAGTCAATCAAGAGACCGTCACCAGCCAAATCATGAGATCCCTGTCAGCAGGAGCCATCGTCTAGAGCAAGCAGGGCCCCCTCGACAGTACCTATCCCCTGTCAGCAGTTTAAGACAGTAGACCCTATAGGCAGGTCCAACCACCGTTCACAATAGCAGGTTCTCCTCAACGGGTCCAATGGCTTGTCCCGTCAACCTATTCCCCTTAACAGGTTCTTGGCAGCGTCATTTGTCAGCTGTCCCCGCCCCGCCCCCCCCCCCCTTACCCCCACCGGTGTAAGCTTCATCACTCTCCCAGGTATCACCTGCTCCTCAAGAGAGCCTGATTGAGGCGAGGCTGCGAGCGAGAACTGCACCTTCGACAAAGGTGCCGACAGAATACTCAGGGGCACCTGACACCCCTGTTATCACTAAGGGACTACAGCTACTAGCGCCAGGGAAAAGAAGTGCTGATAAGTAACCCCCAGAACGAGGGGATTTTGAGTTGATAACAGTATAACTCAGTGACTCACAATTGTAAGTTTATATTATCTTATTAATAAGCACAGGAGACGTGTCCATATCCTGTAATAAAACTGTTGTTATCCACTTCCGAGAAAAGCATGGAACTGAAGACGGAGTTAACAGGCAAGACAAGTACTTCAGGAGAGATTACTTGGAGGAGACGGTGGGACCTACATACAGGTGACAAAAGACTTACCCTCTGGACGGAGAGTGGCATGGCCACGTCGACGCCGCCCTGGAGCCGGAAGCCCCATGGCTGGTCGTGTCCATCCCGCTCCAGGACTAAATTGATAAGTCCCGCCATTATACGGACTCCTACACTAGCACAGTCCCTTTCGGGTTAACTAGTAGCCCTCTGGACGGCCGGCACTCAGCCCACAACAGCCACCACCACCACGGTACACACTCTCCCGACACACTTGCCACAAGCTTGGCAGGACGACCCTCACCGCCCCCTCTCCCCCTTCCCCTCCCTCGCCGTGCCCACCAGGCCCCATTGCGCCCCCCTACCTAGCAAACCTGTTCAACCTGCTGCCTCGCCAGGTTCCCGCGCGTCTGTGCCCCCTCCCCTCATACTCTTTCTAACCCCTTTCACCCGCACACGCCTTCCTCAGTAGTATATTCCGCATGTGATGTTACAGTTGAATCAGTTAATATCAGTTCCAGTGCTTCCATAAGTCATAACTCTCATGGAGTTCAGAAATAGCCCAAGGAGAGAGCAACCTCCCCTCCAACATTCCTGCAGCCTCAGCCAATGTTGCCCGGGTTCGCATGTCCCGAACGGCATCCAGGGGTCCCATTGGTCCGTGCTGCTCCCGTTGCCTTGGTAACGGTGTAAACATCCAGATTCAAAGTTTTGCCGCCAAGTCTGCTAAACCAAATTTAGAGTTCTGTAAATGGAACACGGGAGTTGAGTTACATCCTCAGGGACAACGCGTTCGTTTAGATGCACACATCGGCTTGCTGGCGCAGCACACACCCGCCACTACTCCGTCCCTAGCCATTACCCACCCCGCCCGTGGCCACCATCCACCCCGTCCGTGGCCACCACCAATCCCGTCGTGGCCATCACCCACCCCGCTCGTGGCCGCCACCCACCCCGCCCGTGGCCACCACTCATCCCGCTCGTGGCCGCCACCCACCCCGCCCGTGGCCACCACCCATCCCGCTCGTGGCCGCCACCGATCCCGTCCGTAGCCGCCTCCTCCCACCCCTACATAATTGTACAGGGAGTATAAGTATCATGGCGATTTGGAGGCGAGTGGTGGCCGGGGCCACGGACGGGGTGGGTGGAAGCCGGGAGTGGGTGGAGGCCGGGTCCACGGACGGGGTCGGTGGAAGCCGGGAGTGGGTGGAGGCCGGATCCACGGACGGGGTGGGTGGAGGCCGGATCCACGGACGTGGGGGGGGGTCAGTTGAAAATAATTTTCAACTGAAACATTATTGAATTTGTATTAAAGCAGAGATACATAGAAAGGCAGACACAGACAGTACATAGATGGATTGAAGGATGCATTGATCGATTTATAGATAAATAAATAGATGGATTGATAGACGACTACATGTATGAACAGATATATGGATAGATGGATGGATGGGCAATACGCTCACTACACACAGAAATCACACTAACGTGATACATCCAGTGAACAAATCCACAAGGGCCGTGACGAGGATCGAACCTGCGTCTGGGAGCATCCCAGAAACTGCCTTAATCGACTGAGCTACGACAGGGTTAAAAAGAGTTGAAACCGAAGTTCCACTGAACTTACTGGATCCCCGTAGCCTCTCCAAGGCACAAACCAGGAATTTACACAACTCCCCCCTGCACCCGAGCTATGTCCATACGCAGGTTCGAATCCTCGTCACGGCCCTTGTGGATTTGTTCATTGGATGTATCACGTTAGTGTGATTTCTGTGTGTAATGATGTAAGGGCGAAGAGGGAGAACGGCCTATTGACATAGCTCGGATGCAGGGGGGGAGTTGTGTAAAATCCTGGTTTGTACCTCGGAGAGGCTACGGGGATCCAGTAAGTTCAGTGGAACGTCGGTTTCTACTCTTTTTAACTCTGTCGTAGCTCAGTCGATTAAGGCAGTGTCTGGGATGCTCCCGGACGCAGGTTCGAATCCTCGTCACGGCCCTTGTGGATTTGTTTATTGTTTAATACGCTCACAATAACAGCCAATCTGTGTTGATATGTGGACGGTAGTTGCCAGACACCGACGTGTTGATGTGTGGACGGTAGTTGCCAGACACCGACGTGTTGATGTGTGGACGGTAGTTGCCAGACACCGACGTGTTGATGTGTGGACGGTAGTTGCCAGACACCGACGTGTTGATGTGTGGACGGTAGTTGCCAGACACCGACGTGTTGATGTGTGGACGGTAGTTGCCAGACACCGACGTGTTGATGTGTGGACGGTAGTTGCCAGACACCGACGTGTTGATGTGTGGACGGTAGTTGCCAGACACCGACGTGTTGATGTGTGGACGGTAGTTGCCAGACACCGACGTGTTGATGTGTGGACGGTAGTTGCCAGACACCGACGTGTTGATGTGTGGACGGTAGTTGCCAGACACCGACGTGTTGATGTGTGGACGGTAGTTGCCAGACACCGACGTGTTGATGTGTGGACGGTAGTTGCCAGACACCGACGTGTTGATGTGTGGACGGTAGTTGCCAGACACCGACGTGTTGATGTGTGGACGGTAGTTGCCAGACACCGACGTGTTGATGTGTGGACGGTAGTTGCCAGACACCGACGTGTTGATGTGTGGACGGTAGTTGCCAGACACCGACGTGTTGATGTGTGGACGGTAGTTGCCAGACACCGACGTGTTGATGTGTGGACGGTAGTTGCCAGACACCGACGTGTTGATGTGTGGACGGTAGTTGCCAGACACCGACGTGTTGATGTGTGGACGGTAGTTGCCAGACACCGACGTGTTGATGTGTGGACGGTAGTTGCCAGACACCGACGTGTTGATGTGTGGACGGTAGTTGCCAGACACCGACGTGTTGATGTGTGGACGGTAGTTGCCAGACACCGACGTGTTGATGTGTGGACGGTAGTTGCCAGACACCGACGTGTTGATGTGTGGACGGTAGTTGCCAGACACCGACGTGTTGATGTGTGGACGGTAGTTGCCAGACACCGACGTGTTGATGTGTGGACGGTAGTTGCCAGACACCGACGTGTTGATGTGTGGACGGTAGTTGCCAGACACCGACGTGTTGATGTGTGGACGGTAGTTGCCAGACACCGACGTGTTGATGTGTGGACGGTAGTTGCCAGACACCGACGTGTTGATGTGTGGACGGTAGTTGCCAGACACCGACGTGTTGATGTGTGGACGGTAGTTGCCAGACACCGACGTGTTGATGTGTGGACGGTAGTTGCCAAACACCGACGTGTTGCCATTTCAAGCCCTCCTTTACGGGTAATTTATAATATTGACTCTAGAGAGGTCTCGTCTGAATTCCTATCTCTGAAACCATTTGCAATTTCCAATTTTTATTACTCTCGTTAATCTATTGAGTCAAGCACTTTACGACAAAAATTACAAATATTACCCGTAAGCTGCCTTCGGCCAAGTGCTTGAGAAAAATAGTCTGACTATCTGATACACATAATTTAATTACGTTACCGTATTTATCAGTAGGGTCGACCACAGCGGCCATCCCTGGCGATGTCCAGAAGCTCTCGTCCTCTCTAACTACGCCTCAACTCTGCCTGCACGAGCAGCATGGAACATCAACACTCCACATAGCTTAAAATATATTACGATTTTTCCATGTAGTTTCTTTCGAGGATTATCTGCCGCTGCTCTCGCTTGCGACCATACACCCTTGCCTGTATAACGACCCGCTCACCCCTGAGGGCGCACCACTGGTTGCTGCGTCCGTGTAAACACACATTTCACATTGAGCTACGCGTGCCCAAGTTCAGGCGGACGGTCCCACTCAGTCAAGACAAGCGGGAAACTCTGAAATCACGCTCGATTAAGTGAGACCTTCGCGGTATAGTCAAAGGACATAGGAAATTAGGTATTATTTTATATACTTTAAATATTACACACAATTTCAAAGCACGTGTGATTCGGCAACGCAGGGAATTACTTATTATTGTTGGGCTTTGTGCTGCCTCAGAAGCAAACCCGTCTTCAATCCAACTCCATTCCATCTAGCGCTCGACCCCAAAGAGGCATTCATCCATTTTACAGCCCGTCCTCCAAACAAAGACCCAAAAGTGATTACATGCACCCGCCAAACCCCCTGTTTATGAAGGAAAAAACGGTTTACACGCGACTCACAACTGATGGCGTTCGAACACTTCCGGAACAAGTGCTTCGCTGACGATTTTTGTTCGAACCACAACGCTGTAAATGCTTCACCCACGTACTATAAATAAAAATAATCGCCAACAGAACCGAAACACCTAACATAACCTATGCCTATATATGCAAAATATACGAATATATTATAATATTAATTTATATTTGAGAAAATTCCTGTTTTGAATGAACAGTATATTAAAATTTATGAATGCGTCTGTGGGGCCGACCGCTGGATGTAATGGACTTGAGTCGACGACGGGTTGCATGAACAGGGGGTTTGGTGGGTGGATGGAATCACTTTTGGGTCTTTGTTTGGAGGACGATCTGCAGAAGCAGCTAAAAAATAGATGAGGCTCCGGACTTATAAATTAACCCCTAGTTTAAGGTTGACAAGGCTCCACTGCTCCAGACTGATCTTAAGCATCGCTGATCAAACCTGAATGCAGGACGGTCCTTTACCATCTAAAATTTAGCTTCTAGCACCGATTTTAACCATAGAAAAGTCCTTAAAATCGTTGATAAAGCAAACAATAGACCGTTTGAACAGCCCTGGACCTAGATTCTCTAAGTTTTATGTATTTCTTCTTAAGTGGCTGTTATGAAGGATTTTAAGAATTCTGCAAGAACATTCTCATGCAAGATTCATCAGTGTGACCTAGTAGAGTTATTTGGGGTTTGGTTCTAGTTCACATGCTTCTCAACAGAGGTCATTACTGTTTTTAGTTGGACCAATCAGAGTGAAGGTAACATTGTTCATCTTATCGTTTAGCCAGTTTTTTGCCAACTCAGCTGGACAACTGACCAATTACTGACGTTTTATATCAGCTGACGTATGTCAACAACACGAGTTTACATATTCACGAAAGATTTACCGCACTTCTCGGTGTACCTGGTATGTACACATTATTTTAACCCTAAATTTTGTTCACGAGTAACGTTTAGTTGGTTGTTGGTGAGTGAACTACTGACACGTCAAGATAACCTCAAGATAACGGCCCTTAATAACCATCGGGCAATTGATAAACCTGACGCTCACTTCCAAACAAATCAAGATGGAAGTGTCGGTGATGTAATAGATAATTATTTAGACATTTTAGTAT